TTACCAACGGAAAATTGGGTGAATACATTCCACAGAAAAACGACTGGCTTGTTCTACTATAGTTTAGGGAGATTGCTTGAAATGTCGCCTCAATCAAGAGACTCTGTTGGGAATCTCCTTGTCAGCCGGTATGATGAGACTGCTAAAAATAGCCTTCTTGTCGCCGACTCAGGCGGCCATGGTGCTGGCGATGTGGACATGTCTACTGGCCAGGCGCATCACTTATACGGGTGGGACTCGGTTTGTCTGTTTACAGTGCCGTGAAGAGATTGATCAACGGACAAATAGGCTAGCAGCAACAGAGTTGCCACCAGACTGTAGGACAAGGATGCGCATACCAGCTGTACCCGGTGGGGGGGTAAAGAACCGAAGCCCAGCCATAGCAGCTGGTGCCCGTGGGTTCTCAGGCTTAAGGCGAGGGCAGGTAGTGTGTGACAAGACAGGGGCCAAGCCCATTTTGACGCTTTCGACGTGAGGACAAACAAAAGGAGATATGCATTTCCGATAAGATAGCGCCAGCAGCCTCGTTGCGGGTTCGTGGCAAAGACGGACAGAGACGCGATGTTGGCAACCTGTATGTCTGAACAGCTGTATATACATTCATATATGCTTGTGTGATGCTCCATAGCTGATAGACAGACATCCACCTCTGACTAGCCATATTCAGATAAAGATAGTGTAAATCAGGCGTTGGAGATTTTTTAACCTGATGCCGATGGAAGCGGTCATACTTGGGGGATGTTTGTGTATTCCTGAACTGACACACCAACCGAGCAGTCCATTCGTCCATTCGCTCGCCTCCACCTATACACATGCATACTTATACACGCACAGACACAGGCATAAGACCTGTTGTCCGGTTGTGTCAATGAGTTTGTCTTTGCATAAAACCGGTTTGCTCCTTCACCAGAACTTGGACTCGGGCCGTATTTCTCTTCTGCCTTCCAAAGTGAATGTGAACGGTATGGCACATTTGTTCAAGCTGACGTGTGCCGGCCGAAGTTGCATTTGCCCGAGGCCATGAACCCGCTTCGGCGAGACGGAGGCTTTGAGCAATCCCTCTGCGTGATAGCTTTTGGAAGGGTTTAGGCGCCATTCATGGTGGCAGAGTACGATGCAAACTGAAAGGAGATAAGCAACTGACACATCCAGCCTCAGGCATTGGACAAGTTTGTATAGTTGAACGCAAACTAGGCAGTTTCAGAGTTTCACAACAAAGTCACATTATTGAGTTACCTTATGCAGTTGGTGTCCATGTCTGAAGCATTTAAAAGGCAGAACGAGTCACTCAGACGCCGAATGGACAAGCTGGGCTTCCCAGAAGAATATAATGACTATGGGCTTTTCTGATCCGTCCTCAAACTGACCGTTATTTGCCGAGTTATGGTCTATTTCACACCCTACTTTAGAGTCCATGATTGGCCCCACTTTAAGTTCTTGTTTATTACAAAATATGCAAAGGCCAAGCAATGCTGAAATCCGTCATGCTTTCTCTCAAAAAAGATAGGCGAATTAATGAAAAAGTGGGGCATAAAAACAGTACTCAAAG